TGGTTACGTCACATAAAGCGGATACGAAAAATGTCAGATGTTTTCGACGATAAGGTTACATGAAACACGATCCATTTCCAATTTTACAGAAGAGAAGTGAGTTAATTGCTGATTGGGAACGTAAGATTAGAAAATGCGTGTCGGCCGATGCCTAATATCGATTCCGCTGGCTATGAAACAACTCGATGCATTTTCGTAAACCAATAAATTTGTTTTGTTTTCTCTCCGAGAATCTTATCTTGAACTGTAAGGACCTACAGTGTATATTCCACCATAATATTGATGGGCGATGGACCGATTTTGTCGTGATATCCATATGACGTTGACCTATACGTGACCTCATTTTGTCATGAATATGGTCAACCTGGTATTTACGGTTTGGCATAAATAAGCGTGAGAATTTATGACCTTGAGAATTTTAAAGATCCGTATCTAGGAAACTATTGGGCCCGGTTTTTCGTGAGTTCCATATGATCTTGAGCTATACCTGACCTCATTGGGACATGAGTATGGTGAACCAGGTATTTAAGGTTTGGCAGAAATAATCAAAGAGAAGATATGACCTTGAGAAATTTTCAAGGCCCGTATCTAGGAAACTAGTGGTCCGACTTTCTCGTGACTTCCATATGACCTTGACCTATACGTGACCTCATTTTGACATGAGTGTGGTCAACCAGGTATTTACGGTTTGGCAGAAATAATCGTGAGAATATATGATCTTGAGAATTTTAAAGACCTCTATCTCGGAAATTAGTGGGCCGATTTTGTTGTGACATCCATATTACGTTTACCTATACGTGATCTCATTTTGTCATGAGTATGGTTAATCAGGTATTTACGGTTTGGCAGAAATATGCGTGAAACACATGATCTTCAGAATTTTAACGACCTCTATCTGGCAAACTACTGCGGCGATCTTGTCTTGACTTTGTCATTACCTTGGCCTAGCAGTAACATCAATGTGACATGAGAATAATCACTCTGATAACTGCGGTTATGAAGATGTGAGGGCGAAATAATGTACAAAATAGAATTTAGACATTTCAGTAGCACGGGTATCACGTAATCTAACCTAGTTCAACACATACTGATTTGACCTGCCCTAAACTAACCTAACCTGAACTAACCTTACTTAACCCAATGCACCATAACCTAGCCTGACTCAACCCAAACTAGCCCAACCTAACCTAACCAAATTTAACCTAACGCAGCCTAACTTAACTTAACCCAATCTAAGCTACCTAACCTAACCTAAACTAACCTAACCTAACGTAAACTAAACTAACCTAACCTAACCTAACCTAACCTAACCTAACCTAACCTAACTACTATCCCGTAAGTAGAAACAGACGAATACATTCCGCATCTTCACACACAATTTCCATAAAATCCACTTTAATATTATCCTTCCATCTATGCCTAGATCTAAATTCTTTGAGAGTTCTCCAATTCTCCCATGCGTACGGCATGCCCTGCAAGACTAACGACCCTAATTATATAGCACTTTAATGTGCAGTTTTCGCTGTGGAAGACGTTCTATATCCAGCCGAGTGTAGGACGAAAATTGTAGCCAAGCGGAAGAGCCAAGTAACTGTTTCCCCTTGGTCCAGGAGCAGTGACAGATGATGCGGCGTCGGGCAGGAAAAACAGTTTATGTGGTGAGGTAACTGCGTCCGAGGCATTTTCTAATTGCAAATCTCACATTAACGTCCTGGGTAATTAACATGGTCTACCGAATTACGGAAAAGGCGTTCAACATTAAAACAACCTTTTTCAATCGAACCGTATTTATGTTACCAATTCAGCAATATACATTTCAACATATAGCTAGACTTTCTGATTTCAGGCGAAACGCTACCAAAGAACTAAACTGTAGTATAGGTATTTGGTTCGCAGAAACGTGTAACGTATC